TACCGAGAGCTACTTAGAAACTGCTAATTCCTTATATATTGGAAGGGATATAGCAGCAATGAAGATTCATGAGAACTATGAGCATTTATTGATAACAGATTATTAATCAAAGAATACAAAGCACAGTTAAAGCGATAATAACGCAGCGCGAAAGCTGCTCAGTCTTTGATTGAAAAACTAAAAACCCTTATATAGCCTACCCACCCAGGGAGTTAGCGACGCCCCTGCATCGTGGCAATCAGTGCCAGTTATTTCCCACGCTATAAAAGCGCGCCTACTCACCCAGGGTTTTTAAAGAAGTTATCCTTCCTCTTTAGGAGCTGCCTCAGAGAGCTTGCAAGCTGCCTCAGCCAGTACCTCCAGAGCGCTAACACCGCGCCGGAGCAGTAATATCAACTCCCCGCTCAAAACGGGGGCAGAAGACGTACTAATTACCAGCGCAGAAGCAGCGCTTACAGAGCGCACCAGCTGGAGAACACCTTGCAAGTTCTCATCAGTCAGCTCCCGACTAAAGGCGCACGCACCATTCAGAGCTAAGCTCGCTTTATATGAAAGCTATAGCAGCTTGTAAGCAGCGCGGAAGACAAGAGGAAGCAGGGATAATACTACTTACGAAATAGCAAGAATAGTTATTGCTAGCGCATCGAAAACAACGGACATCAGAACTTATGATAAGTTAGCATAAGGAACAGTAGAACAGCAATGAGGGAGCTTGCTCATCCGCCTGATTCTGGCACCGGATACCCGGCTCCTAGATGCAGCGGCGCACGCATTCTTAACACCAGCCTGCCGGGAGGCGCACTGCACCTAGCTCTGCAGAAACCTTCTTTCTCTTGATAGCCTAATAATGTTAGTATAATGCTGTATATACAGTATATCTGGATACTTACAAAGGCTGTGGGAGTGATGGGAGGAAGGACTCTTGGGGAGGGAGTTGCAAGGGACTCGGGCGGGGGCAAGAGAGAGAGCGAGGAAGAGGCTCTCTTGCGCTTCTTGCTGGCAGAGGCCTTGCAGCTACCACGCCGACCGCTGCAGCAGCCACGAGAAGAAGGGGATGAGGGAGCAGCGGGGGCGCTAGAGAGCAGAGAGTGGCGGGGAGAGAGCACTGCATCAACAGCGCCGGAGGAGGCATTGCCAGCCTCCGAGGCCTCAGGAGCAATCTGATCCTCAGAGATCTCAGGAACCAGCATAGCCTCCCCAGACGCGTTAACAGCAGTAAAAGGAAACATCTGCAACGAATCAGCTTCCACGCAATGCCTCAGAGGATAGGAATATACGTACTATGCTGTTGCTGCTATTGTTATTATTATTGCTGCTGCTGCTATAGTAGCTAAGGAAAGGGAAAAACAGAAAGAGAGAAGGATTCAGGCGCAAGAGCAAAATAGAGAGTAACAATGCTCCACTAGCACGCGCACCCCAAGCAACCCTGTTATCTGGCTCTAGAAGCTATTCCGAGATTGCAGTAGCATGAATAACTGCGCCAAGCTGCGCAGTCTTCGTAATCATGCTGCGTCTGCGCTGCACCAGCGCTGGAGCAATCTTCACGACATCACATAACTTACCAGCGGAGGAAAACTTGGCCCTCTAGAGCGAGGCACTCCAACAACAAGGACTAACTGATAAGAGAATTATTAATAAGTATGAAGGGATCTGTAGATCTGCGCAAGAGCAGCTTGAGCGCATAGTTCCTGGAAACAGGAACCTGGAAGAGGGAGGATTCTGTTAGAGCTTGTATACGCACAAAGGAAATAGGTAGCCCTTGCAACCCCTGGTAGCAGTCCAGGGCTGCTGCGAGAGCTTTGCTCCGAAGCAGCGCTCTCGTACAATGCCGCGTAGCTATCAGACTATTATCATCCCATCTAGTCCAGGCCAATTGTGTACATAAGGGAAAGGGGAACAACAGGTCCAGCAGCGAAAAGAGGAGGAGGGAGATAGGTTCAGTAGTCCCTTTGAATGGAAGCGTTAACAGAGCGGCTTGGGAGCAGCTCACACCTCTTCACCTCACTTGTGTGCCCTTTTTACCCTGACAAACAAGCTATACAGCTAGTAGTTACAGAGCGTGAAAGGATAAATACAAAGCTCTGCTATATGAATATATACTAAATGTAGCTCAAGCAGGAGTTCCAAAAGAGCAAATTTCAGATCTTATATATGCTAATATAGAATATGCTAGCTGATGGATTAACCAAGAATCTCAATTGAGCGCAGTTCGAATACTTCAGAGCGCTTCTCAATCTTCAGAATATCAGCTATGTCTTGAATTAGAGAACTAAGAAGGAACTTAAAGAGATACAGATAAGCAATTTGATCTCATATTAGCTCCTTTTGAATGCTCTTAATTACTAAATTTCATTTATCAAAATTAAAAACAAGAGCTTATAGCTCAGGGATATCATTCAGAAATACGCAAACCAAGCGTGCAGCCTTTATTAAATAACAAACCAAAGAACTTAATCATAAAAAAATCCAATCATTTACCAAAGCTTAGAGCATATCTAAGCTTAAACAGAGCTTACTCCTTAAATAGAAGGTAAAGAGTAGCCAGCACTGCTTCAATATCAGCTTTAGCTTTCTTATGCTTCAGATGCTATTTACAGTAAGATTCGATAGGATGATTATTAACAGAGTACAAGACAGACTGAATAGCAGCTTGTTTTCCCTTCTTCTTAGCTGAAACTATAGCTTTTCTGTTATGACTCATCCAACATGCAGGTCACAGAACAGATCACGAGTAACAGGGACCAGGTGTCAAGGATTCAACATCCTGACAAAGCATCGATTATATAACCCAGGGTTAGGATTATTAGCGGATAGATACAGTCAACATCTATCTCGTCGATAAAGAAATCAATGAAATCAACATCAATCCTATCTATTCAGACTGAAGAACCAAGTATATAAAGGTTTACATTTCCTACTATTAGATAGATTTCCTTTAGATAGTTCTTCAGTTGTTAATCTAAGTATTCAGTCTTATATACTGAGTAGCTTCAAAGGCAGTAAATACTTGCATTGCTTATTAAAACTTGTACAGTTCCATATTTAAGAACTTGATACTTTAATACTGCTCTTATTAGCATAAACCCTTTGTATACTTAGAAATCTTCGGATTGCTGCAGTGCTCATTACATTTTGATAACTCTTGTTCAAGAACGATTTAGTATTACCTCTTAAGCAATACGGAATACAATAGCTTCTTCAGAAATCTCTTTATTCTTGCACATCCCTACTCAGAAGGAACTGATTAACTAGATATACCAGCTTACTTAGCATATTCAGAATCTATGCAAACAATAGCAGGCTTAGAGTGCTATCATTGCTAACTAGCAAGCTTAGCTAGCTTAATAAGCTCAGCAGGCGCAGTTCACTTCTGCAGTTACTAGCAGTGCTGGAAAGGTGTATAAGATGAATAAGCTTGCTATGTATAATGGCAATCAGAAAACGCTGCATGAATTCCTTATCTACTGCAGAGCGTATTTCTTGCATTATGCAATTTAGTTTATCAAGGAATCTGAGAAAATTATTCTTGCAGGGATTCGTCTTGAAAAGAATGCTCTTATTTGGTATAAGCCTTCTCTATGTAACCATTTGAAGCATCAGAACAATTCCAATATGCACATCCAGAGTACTAAGAATATATTTGATTTCTTTAAAAGCTTCAAGAAAGCTCTTAAAGAGACTTTTAGTAATTCTAATAAAGAGCATATTACAGCTCAGCAGCTTATAAACCTTAGATAAACTAAATTAGCTTCTGCTTATATAGTTAGATTTAAGCAATTCTCAGTACAATTCCTATAAGAAGATAAAAACCTTATAGAGCACTATTATAAGAAACTCAAAAATGAAGTTAAGAATGAAATTTCCAAACAAGATTAGCTAGAAAACTTTGCAATATTCTCAAATCAGGCAATCTGCATTAATAACTATCTGTATGAACAACAGATAGAGAAATCCAAGAAAGAAAGCAGCCAGACTTGAAGATTTCCAGCTAATACAAGCAAGAAACTTCAAAACAAGAATAGCGATTAATATAGCAGCATAGCTTAAAGCAGCACTACATATGCCAATTCTATAGAACTCGATACTGCTAATAAGCAGTATAGTAAGAAGAATAGTATTACTTGTGTTATAACTCATTCAACATGCAGGTTATAAAACAGGCCCTGCTAACAAGAAACCAGGTATCACAATCCAACATCGAACAATCACCGGAAATTATATAAGCAAGAATTAGGGTTGAATCATAACAAAACAAGTAAGCTACTCACTGAATCACTGCAATGCAGATCACAAATCACAGTAAGCCAGATAAGCCACAATGAAGAGCTGAATATATAAGAACACATTCATTATTACTAGATAGATCATTGTATATAGCTCTTCAGTTATCAATCTAAGTATTCAATCTTCTATACTAAGTAGCTTCAAAGGCAGTAAATACTTGCATTGCTTATTAAGACTTGTATAGTTCCGTATTCAAGAACTTGATACTTCGATACTGCTCTTATTAGTATAAACCCTTTTGTATACTTAGAAATCTTCAGATTGCTGCAGTACTTATTACATTTTAACAACTTTTGTTCAAGAATAGTTCAGTATTATCCTTTTGAGCAATACGGAATACGATAGCTTCTCCAGGAACCCCTTTGTTCTTGCATGCCCCTACTCAGAAGAAACTAGTTAATCAGATGTATTAGCTTATCCAGCATATTCAGAATCTGCACGAATAACAGCAGGCTCAGAGCGCTACCATTGCTAACTAGCAGACTTAGCTAGCTCAACAAGCTTAGCAAGCACAGTTCACCTCTGCAATTACTAGTAATACTGGAAAAGCATATAAGATGAATAAGCTCGCTATGTATAATAGCAATCAGAAAATGCTATATAGATTCCTTATTTACTGCAGAGCGTATTTTCTGCATTATACAATCTAGTTCATTATAAAGTCTGAAAAGATTATTCTTGCAGAAACTTGTTTCGAGAAAAATGCTCTCATCTAGTATAAACCTTTTCTGCGCAACTACTTGGAACATCAGAGCGATTCCAACATACGTATTCAGAGTATTAAGAATATATTCGATTTCTTTGAAAGCTTCGAAAAAGCTTTCAAAGAGATCTTTAGTAATTCTAACAAAGAATACATTACAGCTCAGCAGCTTATGAATCTCAGACAAACTAAATCAGCTTCTGCTTATATAATCAGATTTAAATAGCTCTTAGTGCAACTTCTGTAGGAAGATAAGAATCTCATGAAATACTATTATAAGAAACTTAAGAATAATATTAAGAATGAAATCTCCAAGCAGGATTAGCTAGAGAACTTTACAATGTTTTCTAATCAAGCAATCTGCATTAATAATTATCTGTACGAATGATGGGTAGAGAAATTCAAGAAGAAAGAAAGCTAGATTTGAAGATTTCCAGCTAATACAAGTAAGAAACTCCAAAACAAGAATAGCAGTCGATATAGCAGCACAGCTCAGAGCAGCACTATGCATGCTGATTCCATAAAACTTAATGCTGCTAATAAGCAATATAGCAAGAGGAATAGCATTACTTGCTACAACTGCAATAAACAAGAATATATTGCATATAACTGCTATCAACTCTAAAAGAATAAATAGCAATCAATTCAGAAAGGATGCTAGATAAATATTGCTCAGCAACAGGAATTCAATCAACTAAGCAAAAACACTCCTTTGAAGCAAATATTGGATTCTATTGATCACGGAAGTCTCAGCTGAACATTCTGCTATAACAACAACTGCTTAATATACCTCTCGAGTAAGAAAGGTTCAGAATAGTTCCCTCAGAAACCTAAGCGCTACAGGCAGATAGCGATAGCAGAGCGAGGGTATACGCTTAGCACAATTATAAGCAGCAACAACTCGAAATGCTCTGATATTACTGAACGAAGCATTCAGATGCTAGAGGAAGAGCTTAATAATAATGCTCTTCGCCATTCTCTATTATCTGTATCAGATATTATAATTAGAGAAATAAACAAAGAATAGTACTCTTTTAGTTATTAGTATAAATATCTAAACAATATCGAAAACGTTTCTCAAGCAATAAAAAGATCAAGCTAGAATGAATAATCTAATGATTCACCAAAGTTTCCTGTGAATAATGAACCTAAAAAGCTTACAGAAAGATTTCCCTTCAGCATTGAATAGAACAAGAAAACAATATGAATTAAATATCTTGTTTACGGAATAGAGCTGGAAGAACTCTTTATTTGTATTCTCTTGCAGAATATTAAAGCATAAGAAGATAAGAATTCTCGAATCAGCTTACTTTACAATCTATACTATGAACTAGCTTGGATCTTCTGCATCTATCATAGCTGCAGAATGCATTTCTCGGAGAAGGTGCAATACGAATAGTTTCCTATTAGAGAATTAGAATAAATTCTTTAAGCTGTTAAAGAATAGAAATTCTGCTTCAGAGAAGTTTTCAACAAGCAATATTACAATACATATATCGAGCTACTAAATAATTGTTCCATGCAATATATAAATAAAAAGATAAAATAGTAGCAGTATAAAATAATATTCTGTATGATTTATATTAATAACAAGATTTGCAACTAGTATTAACAGAAGAAAGACTAGGAATAATAATAATATAAGCAAAAGCAAGCTAAGAAGCTTGCTTAAGAAGTAGCAAAACAAGCTTAAAAGAATAAATAGTTCTTAATAAACTTAAAAGAATAGAATTGCTTATAAAGGAACTACAGATGATTAGACTGGAATAGTTTCTATGTGAAGCTTTTAGGATAGATTATGCTTATATTAAGTTCGATATATATATTCAGGAATATAAATACAGCATACTATTGAATAGTAGCGCTTAGAGAAACTTTATATTTCCATATATTGTTAATCAGGCATAACTACAATGGAAATGAAAGAGATACTCATATACTCTCAGCACTGTAAAAGAACAATCTGTTGTATACAATCAAGAAGTAATTGATAAGAAAACTAATCATCTATCTATCTTAATCCAAGAATATATAACCAGAGCTTTCTTCGATATTACAGATATAGCATAATATGAGCTGATTATAGAGCTTCTATAGCTCAAGAAGCATAATTCTCGAATCGATTAAACTACTAGCCAGATCTCATAAGAACAAGCTATACTTAGAGAAATAGTTACAATTAATAGCATAAGATTGAAGCTAGTAATTGAAGAATACTTAGAAAAAGAAGCTTTATACAACTTTATATATACTTCTAAGTTAGCAGAGCTAGCAATTCAAGGAGAAGAATCTAGTAATAAGCGAATTCAAACAGTGCTAAAATGCTAATAAGTTAGCAAAACAACGAAAGCGAAATCCTTAGCAAGTTAGTTCACTCCGGAGCAATAAGGAAAAGCTTCAGAATATGAATTGTAAAACTATATAAGAAAAACCTCGAAACCAAGCTCTCAAGCGCTCAGCTTAGCTCGAAGCAAACGCTCAAAGCTCTCAAAAACGCTATCAGAAAAGAAGCATACTTAACAGTATCTACTATTCCTCTAAGTAGCAGAAACAGTACATGAATCAGAACTAATATTCGCAAACATACTATAAGAATATTACAAGTTCAAGAAACTATTTCAGGAAGAATTGAATATGGGATTACTAGAATACAGCTCATACAACTATGAGATTCTGCTGCAAGAAGAGAAATAGCTCAAGTTTTTCCTTATCTATAAACTAAACAAAGCATAGCTAGAGGTACTTAGAAAGTATCTCAACGAGAACCTTAAGAAAGAATATATATAATCATTGCAATTATTAGTAGAATATCTTATCCTATTTGTATTCAAGAAGAATAGCAAGCTTAGGCTATGTATTGATTATAAGCAACTTAATGATATTACAATCAAAAACTGATATTTATTGCTGCTTATTAAGAAATTACGAGATAGGCTACAAGGAGCATAGTGGTTTACAGTTCTAAATCTAAAAGAAGCTTACAATCTGATTAAAGTAAAGGAAGAAGAAGAATGGAAAACTGCTTTTAGAATGTGCTACAGATACTACGAATATTTAATTATGCTTTTCAGCTTAACAAATGCTTTAGCTTTGTTTCAGGAAATGATCAATCATATTCTATATAAGCATCTGAATCAGTTTGTTATTACTTATCTCGATAATATTCTTATTTACTCTTGAATACTTGAAGAATATAAGAAATATGTGGGAATAGTATTGCAAACGCTTCAAGATGCAAAACTCCTTATGAAACCTGCAAAGAGTTACTTTTATATGCAAAAGATTAACTACCTCGGATTTATAATCAAGCTAGGATGTATTAAGCTATAAAAAGATAAGATAGAAGCTGTTAGGAATTAGCTAATTTCCAGAAATGTTAGAAATATTAGATCTTTTCTCGAATATATCAACTTTTACAAGCAGTTTATTAGGAACTACAGCTGAATCGCACACTCTCTTACAAATCTTACCAAAAAGGAATAGCTTTTCGAATAAATCTCCAAGATATAAGAAGCCTTCAATAAGATCATTAAATACATTATCTTAGAACTAGTTCTATATAAAGCAGATCTTTACAAATCTTTTGAAATTGAAACTGATGCATTAAGATATGCATTTGGAAAACAACTTGGCTAGCAAGACAATCAAGAACATCTAAGGATTATAAGCAACTTTTCGAAGAAGTTGAATAGCTTGGAAATCAACTACAGAATCTCTGATCAGAAACTTATAATAATAGTAAAAGCTTTCGAGAAATAGCAGCACTATCTCATTAGCATACAGCACTCAATTATAGTTTACTTGGATTACAAAAATCTAACTATATTCATAATAACCAAGATTTTGAATAAGCAGCAAATTAGATAGGCAGAATTCCTCTTACAGTTCAACTTTAAAATTGTACACTGCAAAAGCTCAGAAAACGAACAAGCAAACGCTTTCAGCAGAAAATCAGACCATCAAGATGCAGATTCCTCGGATATACAGAACATCTTCGCTCAAGATAAATCAGGAAATCTTGTTAATGCATACAGAGAACTGAATGCTGCTTTCAGAATTGAACCTTCAGAAAAGGATTCAGAATCAATAACTCCAGACGAACAAAACAGCTATATCAGAAATGTATATAGTATACCAGCATACGGATATCAGAGAATTAGAGCAATCTATGAATGCATTAAAAGATACTGAAACTTATCAGATTTTGGGAAAAGAATTGAGAATATTCTATAATAATGCAATAGCTATAAAAAGAATAAAGCAGAAAGATACAAGCTTTATAAACTATTGCATTCCTTATTAGTATTTACAACTATTTAGCAGTTCATTAGTTTAAACTTTATTACTAAGCTATCTTTCTTATAAGAATTCTTAACTAAGATACAATATAATAGCATTCTAGTAATAGTTTGCAGACTAAGCAAGTATGCTTACTTTCTACTCTATAAGAAAAGCAGTATAGCAGAGGAACTCGCATATGCATTCCTCAGAACAATTATTGCTAATTACAGCATGCTAGAAGAAGTAATCTCTAATAGAGATAGAAAGTTTAACTCGAAATTTTGAACTTTACTTATAAAACAGCTTGGAATATATCACAAAATATTTATAGCATTTTATCTGCAAATAGATAAACAAATAGAAAGAATAAATCAGATTGTTAAACAATATCTTCAATACTATATCAACTAGAAACAGAATAACTGAGTTAATCTATTACTTCTTATACAGTTCGCTTATAATAGCATAGATATAAGCATAACGAAGAAATTACTATTCTTCATACTCTATAAATACAATCTAACAACTTATTATGAAGCACTGCAAGAAGCAGATGCAGAAACTGTGAATAAAAGAGTTAAGAAGATCAAGAAAGTTTAGAAGAAATTCCAATCAGAATTATAATTCGTTCAGAAATGAATAATACAGTATGCAAATTCCAAAAGAATTAAGAAATCAATCCTACAGAAGGGAAATAAGATCTATCTACTTCGGAAAAATATCAAAATAATCAAATCCAGCAATAAACTCAACTATAAAAAGTTGGAATTATTCAAAATCTTATAACAGATTTCTCCAGTTAATTACGAGTTAGCATTATTTCATGAAATGAGAATATACTCAGTTTTCTACATCTTACTACTGGAATCAGCAGTATAGGAAATATTAACGAATAATATAGCAGAAGTAGAAAATAATGAATCAGAGTATGAAGTAGAGAAGATT